TCGCGCTGCGAGTTTCTTTCCAGGCGTGCTTACGGCAGGCTGGAGCCTGATCCATCTTCCATCCACTTTTTTGCACTTTAAACCTGAGTTGTCCTTTCTGATGATGAGGATGTTGACGTTAGTGGTAATGATAAGGATGGGGAACTGATCGGCTCAGTGAACGGTCCAGGAAGAATGCTTCATTCTTCGGTGCTTCCCTACGACAAATGCTAGTGAGTGGAACACCCGGCGAAAAACCCGTATTGTCGCTTGCTCACGGATACCTCATGAGACACGGTCTGCCTACTGTCCTTTTTTCCTCCAGTCATCACTAAAAAATCTAGTCAACACGTGATATAGTTTCCTTGATTGAGGGATGAGTGGCGCTAAGTTGATCAGATGCAGTGCCCGTCGCCAGTTCAAGGCCAGTTGTCAACATCCCTGTGGAAAACTGTGTGACAAAAAAACCTAATCACCCAACGGGCTGGTACCTGTGTGCCTATTTGAGATCCCCTTTCGGTCATTCTTCGAACTCTTTCGAGAAGGTGGCAATCAAGAACATGAATCCATATGCAGTAATCATTCCCTCCCCCCAGAAAGAACCTTTCCGAGGAGGAGGCCTCCGTGGAGAGCTCGAGACTACCTTCTTCGTCGTTTACAAACGTTTCTATGGTTTTCTCGGAAAAAAGACATCAAATGTCTTCCCTCTCTGTAGGTTCTATCTCGAGGAGGCTTTCGTCAGAACCCATTTTCAGCAGTGATAGAGAGGTGGTTCGTAACTCGATCAGATAGCCTAGGGGAGGAACTACCTATTCAAGTGATGTTAGCTTCATAAGTAAGTTGCAGGTATTGTCTAGGTTTAACACAACATCCTCAAGGATTCTGAGAGCCATACGACGGCCCAGTCTCGCTTTCACCGTTCCCATTCGAGTTCATCGGGTAGGTGCAGTCTCCGTCAACCTTACGTTCTGCTTGAACCCAAATTGGAAAGACTCGGGCAAATACTCTAATTTACACATGGACCTGGTTTTGACAGCAGACTCAATGGAAACCAGTTGAAACACTCGTTCGTGACTTCAGCTGAATGTGCTGTACCAGACAGTCTCATGTTTCAGCTTGTAAGATATTCGAGATATCGCAATACGTTGCTATCTAGACGCAACATACTACTCATAAGCGGGGGATTCAGCTGGATTCAGTTCAGTCTCTTGTCAAAACCAGATTAGTGTGCACATGGGAGCGTTTATCATAACTTTCAGGTACTTAATGGCACTCAAACTAATAGACATTAGACAGGTGGTAGACAACCATTTAGTTACCTTGGGCTACATTTCTCGACAGAACGCCTTGTCTGTGCCATCTAGTGTAGTCCGGGAACAAAAGCGCCGGTGTTTTTGGAAGTTTTTAACTGGCAAGCCTGTCGGCCTTCTGTTAGTGCTGCGTTGCTAGGCGAATGTTGCTAAGCTTGATCAGAGCCATGTTCACTGAGGTCACCGGCATAAGCAACGATGGTGCTAAAACAATCTATGAAGCTAGTGATTCATGACGGTCGTAGTTTCGAACAGCTACCGACCTGCAGACTGTTTACTTCCAGGTCTTTCGAGCTTTTATAATCGCTGCTTCTGACTTCCAGAGTACTGACCGTCTATTCGTTACTCACAATCCGCAGGAGAGAGAATGATTAACCGGACGTGAGGTAGGGGTGTGGGATTCGTTGACTTTCGTACACAGATCTGCTGTAACTATCTTGTCGGTATATTGCTGAGATCCTATATACACACTCGGGATACTAAAAAGTTACTCAGATGAAAGCAGGTCCAACGAAGTAATTGAAAGTCAGAGATAAAACCCATTTAGGTCGGCGGGTGTCGTCAACCTATCCTGTAGACTGAACAGGCACAGCTTCACTGGCTCACAATGAAGCGGGATTCTAGGAAATCGAAAAGAAAGACCTTTGTACACGGTGTTGCCGTTGTTTCCGGATGAGGTCGGCAGTGAACAGCCTTTTCAGTACCATTGAGGCTGCATCTACGACTGGATGACGACAACAAATTCCACAGCTCCTCTCCTCAACAGCCTCGCCACCATCTTCCTTGGGACTAATGCTCTTGGTCAGTGCGGGTGATGCTTCGACCAATTGCAGTCAACATACGTATAATCAGGGGCAGTTTTTTCCTCGCGAATTTGATCAATCATAACATGTCCTTCACCTCATTCATACATCTGGAATGCTGAAAACAAAATTTGTTGACCTCACTTCACACACCTCTAATGTGTTCTCCCGTTATCTCAGTGTGTTGTCCACTTGACGATGGGATATCCATCATACTTCAAGCCTTCTGGGAATCCGATTTAGTAAGAATCACAAAGCAGGCAGACGGTTTATATGATGACACTCACTGGTTTATTTTGTCATCTGTTCAGCATACTCGTGCGCAGCTGTATTTATTATCCACTCTTAGTGTGCGGGAGGGATTTTGGAATTTTAATGGTGATCAAATCTAGGCTGAAGAGTCAAAAAGCATTGTACAGCTGTTTTATCCTTCCCGCCACCTCCCGAATGTCACTGTAAGTGTTTAGCCGTTCGGTCAGGAGCGGCTGATCAGTAGTCTAATTAACTCGCACTGCTAATCAACCGCTCGCTTCGAACGGTCAGGTGTTCAGACTTCTAGCCGGGAGGTTGCGGAGGTCGGTTCAGACCCCCTTGGGGTTTTGTGAGATGTGAACTCCTGATGAGTCGCTGAAAGGATGAAGCCGGTGTACAGTGAAATACACTCGTTTGCAAACTAATTTGGTTTTGCGAGAGACTCGTCTGGAATCCAGCTGAATGCAGCTGAATTTGCTGCACCAGGCCGCCTCATGTTTCAGTCACTACGATTTTCGACATATCGCGATATATATATATATA